GAAGGCTGTAGCTATGGGCAACTGAATATTGGAGGCTTCATCATGACAATGCACCCACTCACGCATCATGTCTCATGCAGCTTTTTGGTGAAACATCAACTCACACAAGTGACTCAGCTCCCCTACAGCTCAGATTTGGTGCCCTGTAGCTCTTGGCTTTTCCCAAAACTAAAATCATCTTTGAAAGAGAAGAGATTCCAGACCTTCGATGAGATTTAGGAAAATAGACAGGGCAGCTGTTGGCAATTGGGAGAACTGTGTGAGGTCCCAAGGTGCCTACTTTGAAGGGGACTAAGGCAACATTGTCCAAAGTACAATGTTTCTTGTATCTTATTCAATCAGTGTCTGTTTTCCATATTACATAGTTGAATACTTACTGGACAGACCTCATATATTACTACTAAAAATATCTATAGTAGAAATTTTTCTGAACTTCACAAACTATATTTACATTTATTTTTCTAAAACTGCCCATATATTACCTGAAATCAAAATTTGGGAAACAGTACACTACATTAGAAAGCTCAAAACCCATAACTTATGAAGCTCCCCACATTGGAACTCTCTTTCTTTCTTTATTTTTTATTTTTTATTTTGGAACTCTCTCTTTAGAATCAGTAGCTACTTCCTTACAGTTGTTTTAGGAACAAGCAATACTGAACTGCTCAGCATTTCCTAAACCATTGAGCTCTGTTGAAACTGTGTTTTATATGTGTTTCTTCTCTCTAAAATGATCTTTTTCACTCTACATTCTTTGTCTTTTTCTCTTTCATCTCTCCCCATTTTAAATAAATTGTCATTTTTTACTCATTTCAGTTCAATAAGTGGAACCGGGTTAGTGTAATCATCAAATATTTAATGAGATAAAGTCCTGCTGGAGAATGTTTCCATATTCTGAGTAAAATTTGCATTTCCTAGAATATATTTCTTTGTTATCACTACCACTTTTAATAGGTTCATGTCTTGAGTGAATGTTATCTGACTCTTGTTATCACAATTCCTTTTTCGACAAATAGTAAATCTAGGGTTGATTCTGTCCCTGTGTGTCACATTCAAACACAATGGACAAGCAGAACAACTTCACTCTAGCTAATCATCAATAACCTTTTAGAATTTCTGGCTGTGTTCAATCACCAAATGAGCACCATGACAAATTCAATAATTGATGATCCCAGTTTTTTTGCACATCACTTTCATCTTTTTGTATATGCTGCCAGAAAAGTTTGACTGGATCTCTATAAGTGGTAATAATTGCTTGGACACAATCTGAGTTTTAATCTTGCAATAATTATTTTAACTAAACTATATTAAATAAATTTCTCAGTTAAAGAAGACTCAGCTCCCATTGAGAGGAAATAAGATTGAAAGAGAAGTAAGGTCTTTTTACTAAGTAAGAATCAGACTCTAAATAACAGCATAAAGCAAAAAAAAAAAAACCATGTCTTTGAGATGCTGAAGATCCTCTTGCTCTAAAGAGAGTCTGAGAGAAAGACTTTGCACCAACCTTTGGATGAGGACTACTTTCTGTTACTATCTCCTCTGAAATAATGTATATCAACCCATTAATCCCACTGTCAGCTCTGGGCCAGAGTCAGGTAGATGGATCTGGAACAGTTGGGGAACATAGTTTTTCTGTTTAGATATAAACCCAGGAATATGATTTATAAATCCAAATCAATATCCAAATTAGAGCAAAGGATATAAAGTGAAGATCTGTAGGGTAACATTGTTGCACTTCCACCCTCCATCCATCAAGAAAAGAATCATACAGAGATAAATGCTTAGCACCTTTCACAACAGGCTGTGAAGATTATGTGATGTGACCAGAGTAAAAAGAGCAAAGAGACTACAGAGAAATAAGCATGTTAAGTGGAGAGTTAATTTTGGTTTCTGAATCACTACAAAGGTGGTGGTTATTTTTGGGTGTTCAAAAGTTAAGATAAAAAGCTCACATCCATTGAAAAATGTAAAAGATTGTGTAAATAACATAGGAAAACTACTCATCACCATGGAATCAGTAAGTGATGGAAGGAACAAGCAAAGATGTAAAAAAAGGACTATGTATACTTGTAGATCTAAATAACAGGGAAGTTTATTATTACACTTTACTACCAAGCAATCTCCTCTATTATTAAGGACAAAGTATGAGTTTATGCTTACTTGGAAGTAGTAAAAATTAAACTTGAAAAATTGTACAAAATAGTATAAAAGCCTAACATGACCAAAATCAAGATATAGAACTAGTCAATCACCACAAAAGAACATGCTACCTCTTTGTTACCTTTATGCTACCTCTTTGTATTCACGTTCACTTTGCACCCCACCTCACCCCTCTCCTTATCACCTTGTTATGGCAATTGTTATTCTATTCTCCATCTATATAGTTTTGCCATTTTCTAATTTATATAAATAGAATGATATAACCTTTGGATGTAACATTCTGCAACTTTTTTCACTAAGCATAATATTCTTTAAACCCATTTGGGTTGTTGTATGTATCAGTAGTCCATTCCTTTTTATTGCAGAAATGTATTCCATTGTGAGGATGTATCACAGTTTGTTCAAGCATGGACCTGTTGAAGACATTTGGACTGGTTCCAATATTTTGTTATTACAAATAAAACTGCTTAGAACATTTGTATACAGGCTTTGCATGAACATAAATTTTTATACTCTGGGTTAAATGTTCAAGAATGTAATGACTGCATCATATGGTAAGTGCATGTTTAGTTTGAAGACAGTGCCAAAGTGGGTTTATGCCCACCAGCAATGTATGAGAGAATCAGTTTCTCTGCATCTTCATCAATATTTGTTATGATCACTATTGTTCATTTTAGCTACTCTGATGGATGTGCAGTAATCAACCTATGCCTTTTAATTGGACTATTTGGTCCCTTTCCATCTAACATAATTATAAAATGGTCAGGTTTAGCACTACCATTTTGCTCTCTATTTTCTATTTACTCACTCTCTCTTTTGATCATCTCTTCCTGCCTCCTTTTTAGTTAAGTGAACATATGTAATATTCTGGTTTGATTCCTCTACTGGCTTTTTAGCTATATAACTTTACATCAATTTTCAGTGGTTTCTTTAGAAATTAGAACATGCACCATTATTTTATTACAGTCTCATTAGATAAAATGCTGTACTACATCAAGTAAAGTATAAGAACTTTGCAACAACATGTTTTGATTACTCCCATGCTTAGTGCTACTGCTGTCATATGTATTTTATGGATTTTGATGACTATACTATATTTTTAAATATGTAAAACTAATAGACAAAAGTTCCTGATTCTTCTGTCTATATTCCTTCTGGATCTTCTCTGTCTAGGTCTCCTATTTTTTGCCTTCTTTCCCACTTAGATGCAGGTTTGTGGGAGAGTGCTAATTTGTCCTTCATCAACTTCCAATAAAGAGAGATGAATTGATATAATTTGCTTACAGTGATTTATAATTAGACAAGAAATGACAATGTCCTGAAGAATTAAGAGGAAGCGGTGGAGAAGAAAGTCTGAATTTAAAAGGATTTGATAACTGCCCTAGCTGGTGAGGCTCAGTTAGTTTGGCATCATTGTACAAAATGAAAGGTCATGGGTTTGATTCCTGGTCAGGACATATGCCTGTGTTGCGAGTATAGGCACTGGTTGGGGCTTGTGCAAGAGGTCCATTTACACAATGAAATACTATGCAACATTAAAAAAGAAGGAATTCTACCTTTTGCTACAATATTGATGGACCTGGAGACTATTATGCTAAGTGAAATAAGCTAGTCAATGACAGACAAATACCATGTGATCTCACTTCTAAACAGAATCTAATCAAAAGTAGAAACTAATGTGCAAAGTAGAGGCAGAGGCATAGAAAGCATGCCTCAGACTGACAGTTGTAAGAGAGGAGGGAGGAGAAGGGGACTGGTTGAAAGAAGCTGAGGGGACTAGTCAAGGAACACATATGAATGACCCATGGACATGGACAATGGGGTGGGGATTGACTGTGGGAAGGAGCGGTGGGCTGGGTGGAGAAGGGCAAAGTGGGAGAATTGGGACAACTATAATAACATAAGCAATAAAACATTTAAAAGAAAAAAGGATGAAGTTATGGAAAACAGCTACCAAAACTACAGAGTGCTTCTTCACTCTCCAGAATCTGAAAGCATTAGAGGATTGCACACGGTCTAAGTGATGCTATCAAACATATGAGGTCATCCACATTAGAATCTATAAGAAGAATGGGCTTTAAGAAGTTCAAGTTCTCCTTGTTTAGGCCAGAGACAAAATATGACAGGGATCTACTAATCCCACCTACCTGTCTGAAAATCTCTCACCCCATTTTTCTTTGAGGGCACTTTCCACTCACCTATCTGAGAGGCAGAAGGAGACTTTGACACTTGTGCCACTTCTGCATTTTTGTAACCCTAGCTAAATCCATCAGTCCTCTGGGCTGGAGCTTCGATGGGCAGACAAGGGGATCAGATAAAACCATAGTAAATGGGTTGGTTTAGTTAAACCTTTGTGACCCAGAGATCCTGATGGATGCTAAACAGGGGCACCATACACCCCCATGCTTTAACAGGTCTTTCCAAGGTCATGTGTTTCATTTCTGTGTGACAATAAACTGGAAAATGATCCAAATATCCCATTATTTCTTGATTAAAAATCTACATTTTTCAAAGGAACTCGTACACCGAGGATCATTACTAAAATATTTTATCAGGTTATACTTTCCAGATGTTATTTTTAGAAATAATTTGTGCTCTTGTGACTGAATGAGGGTGGTTGTGGACACTGAGAGCCTAACCCCATAATGGGGCATTGCGGAGCTGCCAGAGAAGAGGAAGACTGGAGCCCAGTAAGACAAAGGAACCCTCTCATCTCAGTCAAAGGGAGGCTATTTCCCCTGGCTCTCATCTCTGGGGGAAATTCCCTTGCCCCCAGTGCCTAGCCAGGAGAGATCCACCTCTCCTACCTAGAACAGATTTATAGTGACTACTCTACTCACCATCCTCGGTGTAATATGGCAGTTTTGTTACTGAGTCATCTGACAGGAGCTCTAAAGTGAAGAAAAACATCATAAAATCAAACAGAACAATCCTTCCTGCATCCAGAGGCTGCAAAGTAAGGCTGAGAATAAATGTTGGGTTAGCATGGCTGTTGTGGTATCAAGGGAAGGCTAGGAGGTCACAGGGGCTGTGAACAGGCCCCTCTTGCCTCTGTGAGCCTGGGGTATATGTGGGGTATGCAGATGCTGAGAAGACCTGACTCAGAGCCAGTGGATGGCTGAGAAGTAGAGGTCCCAGGAGGGCAAGGCAGGGACACTCACCTGGGCTGCTCAGAAAATCCTCTTTCTTCGGTGTTACAAGATAATCAATCTCCTCATATACAGCCTGGTCAAGAGCATCTTCAAAGCTGGATAAGGCTGAGCAAACCACCAGCAGGTCAGAGATTTCCCCTTGACACAGTGATGAATCAATAGGCTGATCCTTCATTGTCTCCTCTGCTCACAAGTGGAAAAACCCTGACAGTTTCCAGACCCCACCCCCGCTGCCCCGAGCACCATGTCTGCACCTTCTTCCATTGTCTAATCTGTATCCAAAGCTCAGCTCCTACTTTTTCATTTCACATATAAAGCCATGATTATGAGAGCTAACAGCCCACTCTCAAAAACATCTGAATATTCAGCCCTTAGAGGCTAATGAGGGGCAGATGGATTTTGCAAACTAATGAGGTAAGAACAGATACCTTGTCCAGTTTTCCCCTTGGTACTCCTGCCCCATTTCCTCCCTGCAAACACTTTCCATGTTATCTGGTACCCCCTGCAGCCCACCTTTGCCCCCTGCTCTCTGTTTGTGCAACTGAATCACCAGGATGATGAGGACCATGAAGAGAAGGGCCCCCAGGATGAGGCAAAGGATCCCAGGCAGGGAGAAGATGCCAGGGACAGAACTTGAGCCAGATCTGGTCCCTAAAAAAAAACAAAGCCAAAAAGATTTGGAGAAGGACATATGTATAGGGAATCTCACACCAACATTTCCAGAGAGCTCAGGACAGTGATGTCCAGCTTCCAACATAATGGGATTGACTGTGACCCTGGAGAGCACTCTACCAGCTAATGTCCTAAGATAAATTCAACTCTTCTCCAGTGTGGTGTGTGGAGTGCTGGGGTTTATCAGGAAGCCCTAAAACTACAACCATCTCTGAGGGTCATGGCACAGCTTCAGCCCCTTCTCTTGGGCATCACCAGACTGGAACATCAAACAATCTTAGCATAGGTATCACCTGCCGAGGAGCAAGGCTCATGGGCAGGTAAAGAAAAACTGAGATTCTGCAACACAAGAACCAGCACCTATGGCCTGAGTGCGTGAGAAACTTCTGACACAGTGAACCAAGGAAGGGGAAGTTTGTCCAAGGAAACCACCCTGATAACTCCCCACAACCCGATTGCTCCTCAGGATCTTTTCTTTTCTGAGTTGGCTAATTCTCTCAGAGATTCTACAGAACATGTTCCAAAATTTGAACATGGTCTTACACCCATGGATGGTGGCACTGTACCTGCTGTAGTGGTTGGCAATGTTGATCTTTTACCTAGAAAGAAAAACAGGAGTTGGGAGCACAGGAATTTGCCAGAATGCAGGGTAACCCAGTTTCCCCACCTGAGCCCTGAAATCTCCCTTTGATTAGCACAATATCACTATTTAGTCTTCCCGGCTCCCCTTTTTCCCAATCCAGGCCTACAGCCTCTAGATACTTCCTTAATACCAACTGCTCTTCTTACCCCAGCCCAGCCCATTGCCCCACCCCAGCTCCAGCTCAACCAGAGCCTACCTAACGCACTCTCCACCACTCACCAGAGCACCTCACTCCAGCGTCCTCTTCGTGCTTGCAGTCGCTCTGCCCCCAGGGCTGTGCAGCACAGGCCCACAGGGAGGACTCCCTGCCCCTGCAGTGCACCTCATCCAGCCAGATGTGCCCTTTTCCTGGGCCAAATGTCGCCTCCTGTAGGGCTTCCAGGGCAGAGCCACAGCCCAGCTGCTGACACACCACCTCGGCCTCTGCCAGGCTCCAGGAGTCATCACACACTGTGCCCCAGGAGCCACTGTGCCAAACCTCCACTCGTCCTGAGCATTCAGTGTCTCCATCCTTGAGTTGGAGCTTGTCTCTGTCTGACAAGGTGGCAGCACCTTCTTATCACCCCTGATGGGAGAGAAGGAACCCTGGGAGCCCATAGGGGAGGTGGGAGGGGCTGATGTACCTGTGCAGGGGGCAGCAGTGGGACAGCTCTTGGGTCTCATTCCTATAGAAGCAAACAATGGAGACACTGGATCAGGGACAGCTGGGCGTGGTCTTGCCCCACAACAAGATTATTTAGGGTTCTTGGCTCAGTCCAATGACAAGTAAAAACACAGGCCTCATAATTAATCTAAAGGTCTGAGTTACTGAGACATTCACTGGATCCTAGCCTTTATTATGAACAGAAATTACTTTATCTGTGTGCTTGTTTATCACTTTCCACATTCCACAACAAATACAAATAAAACCACACACATACATACCCATGAATGAAAGTGTCCCTAAATAAGGGCCTTGCATATCTTTTTACTTCTGTGTTTCTGCTATTAAGACAATGTGTGGCACATTGTACATATTTATTCAACAAGTATACACTGAGAACCTTCTATAAATGCTATGTATAAGAACTTGACAAACATTTATGGAATGCATGAGTCAATGAATAAAATCCAGTGAAATATAATTCTTTTCAATCTTGCTGATCAGCAAGATAATAAAAGAAATGGAAATTAACATTAATGATATGTGGTAATAAATAGTGAATGTTAAAAACAAATAAGTCTAGAATCACAGAAGTGATTTGTATTCAATATTGCACTTATACTTTTTAAAGGGAAATTATACAACAAATTGTAAACTTTGCTTATAATTTTTTGAGAGTGAAAAATGGACAAGCCAAAAAGATAACTATAGGGTCAGGACACTTTTTTTTAAGGACTAGAGCAAGTAGAATTAGAGAAAGATAGATCACTCGCTAGTTAGTAAGACAGAAGTGTCTCTATAAGACTCAAATAAAAGTAATAAAAAAAACTACATTAAGAAGACACAGAAGTTTAAAACAAAACACATATAAGAATTGAAATCAAAGAAAATAGACACAAATTCAGAACAACACAAGAAAACAGAAGTAGCCCTGGCTGGCGTAGCTCAGTGGATTGAGCGCGGGCTGCAAACCAAAGTGTCGCAGGTTCGATTCCCAGTCAGGGTACACGCCTGGGTTGCAGGCCATGACCCCCAGCAACCACACATTGGTGTTTCTCTCTCCCTCTCTTTCTCTATCTCCCTCCCTTCCCTCTCTAAAAATAAATGAATAAAATCTTAAAAAAAACAGAAGTATACACAGTACTTGTCATAAAATGTCAGAGATGATCTTACCTTTCTCTCTCATCCTATCAAACTTCCTGTCCTATGCAGAGAACGTCTCTGAAAATAATGGCAGGACCTCTCTTGGGTAGTTGTGACTTCAGGATTGAAAACCTCACTACCTTTTATTTATTGTGTTTGGTGAAAATTACCATTAATGTAAGGTCTTATAGTTTAATGTTTCTTCAGTCTTTCATGAGAGTAAGAACATAAAGATGAAGAAAGAGAGGCAAGGAAGGGAGTGAGGCGCTGCCTATAAAATATGTATTTCTCACTGCTGTGGATTTCAGGCAACTCCCATCATGTTGTCCAAAGTATACCTGAACGGGGTGTAGTGTGGTGGAGGGGTGGGGACAAACCAAGAGACAGGAAAAAGTGTTGAGGGAAGAGAAAACACTGTGAAAATGTGAAAGAAGGAAGGTAGAGATGGAAAGAAGAGAAAGAAGGAAAGAGGGAGAAGAGAAGGAGGAGAAAGAAAGAGAAGCAAAGCAACTGTTACCTTTATTCAGACTTCAAATAGAATGAGACTTGTAGGCTTTTGGAGTGTCTATGTGGTTTGGCTTAAGAATCAAGTTCTTCCTGAGACACCAATCCAAAAGAACCTATGCACCCCAATGTTCATAGCAGCACAATTTATAATAGCCAAGTGTTGGAAGCAACCTAGGTTCCCATCATTAAATGAATGGATCAAAAAACTATGGTACATTTACACAATGGAATTCTATGCAGCAGATAGAAAGAAGGAGCTCCTATCCTTTGCCACAGCATGGATGGAACTGGAAAGCATTATGCTAAGCAAAATAAGCCAGGCAGTGAAAGACAAATACCATATGATCTCACCTTTAACAGGAACCTAAACAACAAAACAAACAAACAAGCAAAATATAACCCAAGACACTGAAATAGAGAACAGGTTGATATTGACCACAGGGGAGGGGGAGGGAATTTCAGGGGGAAAGGGGAAGGGTTTACAGGAACAAATATAAAGAACATATGGACAAAAACTAGGGGTGCAGGTGGAAATGGGAGGGAGGTGAGGAGGGCTAGGGAAGTGGGCTGAAATGGGAGTAAAAGGCAGAAAACGGTACTTGAACAACAATTAAAATAAAAAAAAACACAATCACCCCCCAAACAAAAAACAAACAAACAAGCAAACAAAACAGAATCAAATTCTTGAAAAATCTCAGCATCTTCTATCTAGTTATGAAGAAGACCATTGAAAACAATTAATCTGAGAAAGTAATTTGACCATATCTAAGATTTGTGTGTGTGTGCATACCTCCTTATCCTTTGATCTAATAATATAAATATTAGGAGTGATCCTATAGCAATAAACTCACTAGTTTGTAAAGATACACACTATGATAATATCTATCAGAAGATTATTTGTATAGGGAAAAATTGAAAATAATTGGACTACCAATAAATAAGCAAATGGTTACATGAATTGCAGTACCAACTTCTCGTGAATAAATAGTTCCCATTATTTAAATGAGTTACCTCTACCTGGAGGACAATGTGGTGACTGAGGGAGAGATGTGGTTAGGGTGGACTAGGGTATAAGAAGGATAAATGGTAATGGAACAACTACCAAAAATAAATAATTAAAAATCCAATTTAACAATAAAATGTATGCTTGAATCTCAACTTTGTAAAAACCAATAATAAAACACCATTCACATAAATTCTTTTCTGGGCATGAATTTGGATATGCCTTACTGAAAATGGATGAATTTAGAAAATGGTCCTTACTAGTCCATTAATCCTGTTTATATCAGGAGGATATGAATGAACAAGGAGTCATAGGATACAATTCTCCTTTTACATTTTATGTCTTTCCTGCTTACGGTAAGTAAGCATTGTTTTTGTGATTTAAGTGAAAGAGAAAGGAATTGGCCTTTTTCTAATCTTAAAACAAACTAGTGGGAAGAACACAAATTCCCTAGTGCCAAGCCTGGTACAAGCCCAGCAGGAAAAAGTGCAGCTGATTCAGTGAAGGAACAGAGACAAGCAAAAGGGGATATAAGGAAAGGCTGGCAGGCCAATCTGCTTGCCTCCAGTGTTCTTTTATGTATAACAGTGTTCATTCCCTGGGGGACCATCAGAGTGGCAAGAGTCTCTTATGATACTTGTGCTTACAATAAACCAAAACCTGCCTCCTGGTAACCTCCATCCATCTTGTCAGGGCCCTGCCACTGGAGGAGCTCAGGGTGAGTCCCCTCCCTCTTCCATGGGAAGTCCTCCAGAGTGTGAGGCCAACAACCAGGCTACATATACTCTGGCATTTCTGCTAATTAACCTAATTACAGACTCCCTGTGATGTGGTTTCCAGCTGTGTTTGCAAATGGCACATGTGCACCTAGACAGTGAAATGTGCTAGCATCACTTCTAAAGGCACTTCATCCTACTATGGGATGAAGGGTCCAATAGGACCCAGAAAATACTGCATTTGGAAGCCAGGTTAAAAAAAAAAGTTTCAAGGAAAAGGGAATACTTGTATGTGTTAAATACTACTGAGACACTAAGTAAATGAGAACTGAAGTGCGCCCATTAAATTCATTGTATATCATTGATTGTAATAACTAGACCTTTTTTAGGAGTGTAGTATTGGACAGAGGGTGGAAACCAGAAATAAAAATATCAAAGAATAAGGTGATGGGGAAAAGGCACACAACACTTTTGAGAAACTGTAAAAGGCAAAAAGTTGGAAGTAAGGTGCTGGAATGTTGTATCCAATGCTGGAAATAATTTTCTTTTAATTACAAAGGTGATTAATATGTTGATGATGATGAAAATAGAAAGAACAAAAGGTTAAGCATATATCTGAATAGAGAGCCAACAGAATTTGCTGTTATACTGGAATAGAGGGGAAGGGAAGTGAAAGAAATAAAGATTCACTCCTATCTATTGAGCTTAAGTAATGGTAGTGACATTAACTGAAATGAGAAATAATAGTAGGGAGGAAAAATTTAGGTACAGAGATTGAGCAGGTAGAATAAAACATCCTGCTTTGTGATAGCTAAGTGAGGGGAAGTAGGAGGTGAAGGGTTGAGCAAACAAAAAAAAGGACACATGGACATGGACAACAGTATGGTGATTGATGGGGGAATGGGGGTATAAAGGGACTAAATGATGATGCAAAAATTGCAATAAAGATTAAATGAAAAAAGTCCTGTTTTGGAATAAATTTGAATGGCCCATTAATATTCAGTGGAGATATCAGGTAGCAACAAAAAATGAGTTTGGAGTGAATGGCAAAGAACAGCTGTGGAGTTTGCTGTTAGTATATAGAAGTCATTTAGGACATGGGCCTTAGGAAAGGAGTCCAGGTAACAAAGAGGAAAGTGTGTGATACAGAGCCCTAAGAGTATCAAAATCTAGAGGCTGAGCACAGGAGTTGCAACTCTGTAAAAATAAGATCAACAATCAATGAGGTAGAATAAGGAGAACAATCAGTGAGATAGAAGAATCATCAGAAGGCAAAAAGAAAAAAAAATTTGAGAAGGAAAGAGAAGTCAACCTGCTGAAAGCTGCTGAAAGGTCAAGAATAATGAGGACAGAAAGGTTTGTTATATTTTATTTTCTTGCTGATTCTGAGTAATGGTGGAGCCTAAAACTTAAACGGATAATGTAGGAATAGTGTGAGATGCACAAGTGTGGATACAGTGAGTGATTAATGACCATACTTTTGAAAACATGGCTGTGGAGCAGAGAAAATAAGGATGGGGTAGCAGGTAGGGAGAGAATCTAGGTTGAGGAAGAATATTGTTTGTTCAGGTATTTTTTATGATGTGAGACAGTTGAGGCCATACCAAGAGACAGGGAGGAGTTGATGGTGCCAAAGAAGAAGGCATAACTGAGGAACTGAAGACTTTGACAAGGTGAGTATGATTAGAATATGTTGCCCAAGAAGAAGAACTGGCCTAAGATAAGGACTAAGGCCACTGATGGTGAAGCCAAGTAGAAAGCCTGTGCACAGATCACAAGTTGGTAGATGTGTTGAAAGGAAGACAAGGAGTTGTTTCTATTCTAATTTGTCAGTGAGGTAAGACGCAAGATTGTGGTCTTGAGAATGGATAGTAGGAATTGGATTTTGCTTATTTTTTTATTGTTGTTCAATTATAGTCATCCCCCTTTTCCCCATTTTGAAGTGTGGGGAGAACACTTCATATGTAAAATATAATTTTAAAGATAGGGCAAGCACACATATTGGAGGAGTACAGTAGAACTTCAGGGCAGTGTGGAATGCTCATTAAAGATTGTGTCCATGAATTCAAAAGTAGACTAGCAATGTGCTGTGTGTTCTTTTCTTGCTTTATTAATCTAGTACAGGCAGAGAGTAGTTAGGTAGTTGACTTTAACCATCCTAATGTGTGTGTCTGTTAAGACTGACAAAGAGGAGGCAAGGGAGTGTAGTTAAAGGAAAATGATTATAATGTTGGATCATATTATCTAATCTGGCTAAGAAAAATGTGAAGACATGAGGAAAGAAGAAATATAAGAAAAATCAATAGTGGAAAGTTGGGCATTTCCACGAGGATGAAAATTATTGGAAGAAGGATCATTAAAGTTTATGAGCCATAAGATAAGAATCAATGACCAGAGAATGGAATAGAGAAGTCAAGATTTCAAGGTGTACAGTTACTGATGGTTGGTAGGGTATGCATAGCCAGAGGTTGGATGGAAGGGAAGGTGCTTAGAAATGAGGAATTTAACAAACTGAGAGGCCAGGATTGTTGCCTTAGTTGCATTTAAGTATGCTGAAGTAACTACTAATGGTTCTAGGAGTAAGACATAGATGGAGAACCTGGTAAGTCTAGTGCTTTAGTCTTTAGTGGACAAGGTGGCAGTGGGGAGACATTGAGCAGAATTTTGGGTAATGATAGCAACAGGCAGAAGTAGTAGGTGGAATTGCCTCCTGATGTTAGTTTCAATGTAATGTGATGTTGAGAGGAAGCACAGAAGAGGAATTGTTGAAAATGGCAACTGAGAGTGAGGAGCATACCTAATCCAAGTCTCAGCACAGGGAAAAGTGTGTTGGAAGAGAAACACACAGCCTCCAATTGATAGGAAAATCAGTGTTTCCAGGAAGAGTCAGGTTTGAGCTGAACATAAAAGTGAAGGGAGTATTGAGGATATAAGGGAATTTGCAGATAATTGGGCTCCAAATTCCAGTGTGCTCTGAGAAATTTTGGAAGAATGGGATGAGAGAGCATAAGAGTACACAATAGTAAAGGAGAAAGTCCCGGAAGATGAACGATCAACCAAGAAGACCAATATACTGAGGGCCTCTTAGAAGAGACAAATTCAAGAAGAAAAATATAGGGAATGAGTCCACTGACCTCCCAGCAGTTCTCCATGATATGGCAGCCAAGAAGTAAAAAAAAAAAAAAATTCTTTTTAACAGCATTGTTCTTGTTGGTACTGCCTAAGGTCTTTGCTTTGCTCTTCATTCCAAGCTAATCCTTTGCTACTCCTGTACCCCTTTCCTTCACCCTGTTTCTGCTCTGGCCATGACTGAATTTTCTCAGAAACCACAAATATTGCATGTCCTATCCCAACGCAATATTTACAATGACCAAAATGATCTGTCTCCTTTCTTCCTTTGAGAAACTCATACTGATTTTGTAAGTCTCCATTCAAATGATTCTTCTTTTGCCCCTATTACATGCTTCCAAGCCCTTTCTCATTTTTCATGACACTTGAAACTTCTGCCTCATGAGTCTTTTCATCATTGGATTATAAATTCTATGAGAGCCATGACTATAATTTTTCTCTCCTCTGTCCTCTTTCCTAAAGTATAAATTTATACCTACGGGTACTCAATTACTATCAACAAACAGGCTGACTTGAGAACTAGTTTAAGTGGTATAGATGCATTTCAAAGTAAAATATCATGAGTTTAAGACATAAACCAATCAGGATTGATTCTCTGCTTGGCCCCTTACTTACATTAAAGTGCTGAGCAAATCTATTAACTACTCCAAATAGTTAGCAATTCCTTAGAAAGTTTGTCAGAGTATTAATGGTGCTCCCACATGATTTTTGCCTATCTTTCTGGTATTTTTCACATAATTTGCCATGAGCACAGGTTTTCTCATTTTTTTCTTTGAAACCAGATTGCAGTAAGTGGATTAAATCATCTTTATCTTAAAGTCACTCATCTTAAAGTCTTCTCTCAGATTTGAAAATATAAATATCACTAACAGCATCCTACAGGGGTGGGATGGATACATAGAAACAGACAGTAAATACTTGCACACGTGATGTAAGCTTCCTCCTTTGGACTGCATGAACTGTATTTCCAAGGGTCAGAAGGGCACTGCCAGAGAGACATATCAGTGTTCCGACACTGGATTCCATCCACCCATCGGGGTCTAGAACCTTCCCTAAAATTAACAGAAGTGTCAAGGATCCCCCAGTCCCCACAGCCAAGGTGTCTGCAGATCGTGGACAAGGTCATGGCTTCCATGGGGCTGTGGCAAATACTGCCCCAGGTCCCATTGTAGAAAACTTCCAGCCACCCTGCACACTCCTGGTCCTTGTTCACCATCCTCAGGGCCAGGAACTCTAAAAGTGAAACGCAGAAACAGGGCTCAGTGAGTGGTCCACTCAAAGCTCTGTATTCTTTTTCTCTCCCAGAGGATGTGAATACTCATCACTGACTCTGCTGAGGAGACACCCACTAAGTGGCAAGACTGATATTTGCATCCCTTTCCCTGACTTCGTCCTTTTGTGTCTGTCTATCTCTACCACAAAGATGTAGTGGAGCATAAACAGAGAGGAACACCAACCTGGGCCCTCTGCAGGGAGAAGAGCCCAATCCTGCTTCCGACAAAACTTCTGACAGAGTATGTGAAAGGGAGTGTGAATAATGGGTGGTAGGTGGAATAAAGGACCCCCAAATATTTCTACATCCTGACCCATGGAACTTGTGAAATGTTCCCTTTTATGGCAAAAGGGACTCTGTAGTTAGTATTAAGATAAGGGCCTTGGGATGGTGAGATTAACCTGAGGTATCATGCATTAAGCAGGTGAGTTCAGTCTAATCACATCCTTAGACCCACTGCCCTTAAAAACAAATAAACTTTCCCGATTCAGTTCAGAGGGAAATGTGGTTAAGAAATAATGGTCAGAGGGAGGCGATGTTGTTTCTCTGAAGAAGGAAATGGAGCATGGAACCCAGAAATAAATGCACACCAGCTTTGGAAAGTAGAAAAACCAGGGAGAGGAAGTCTTTCCCGGAGCCTCCAGAAGGAATGCAGCCCTGTGGACACCTTGGTGTTAACAAGCCCAGTGAGACCCTTGTCACAAAGGACACAATGTATACAACTATAGAAAAATAAATTTGTGTTGTTTTAAACCATGTGGTAATTAATTATAACATCAGTAGGATCTCAAGATTTTGCTACTACCATAAGCAATTGAAGAGTGAGCCCTGTTTTCAATGGAAACTCTGTAAAGAATGGCTTTTATTACTGAGGAGGGAGGACCAGAGGCCCAGCTGCTGCAGGAGGAAAGGAAAGCACCAATTGCTGTAACTGCTAGACAGACAAGTCCTGTGGAAGGGAACTTCCTTCTTCGATGGCCCATTTTCAGCAACACCCATCAGGGCTCAGACTGCCATCCTCGAGGGCACCCACCTCCTCCCCAGCCCAAGGACAATGTGCAGTGCAGACCTGAGCAGATGACCCCTGCGTCCTCCTTGTGTCGGCAATTGTGCTGTCCCCAGCCCCGGGAAGGGCACTTCCACAGGTGGGACTCCCTTCCTGTGCAGTTCACGTCATCCAGCCAGATCTGGTCTGATCCTTCCCCGAAGTGAGCAGAGACTGTGGCATTGAGGGCTTCCCCACAGCCCAGCTGTCTGCACACCACCTGGGCATCGTTCAGGTCCCAGCTGTCATCACAGATGGTGCCCCAGGAGCCCTGGTGAAGGATCTCCACCCTGCCGGCACAGCGACTGCCTGCGTCCACCAGGCGGAGCTGTCTGCTGTCTGAGGAGGGAGAAGCCATGGGATATTAACACAGGGAAAGAGAGGAGGGTTTTCTGGTCCTGTGGGAGCCCTCACCTGAGCAGTTAGCAGCACTGTCTTCTAAGGGTGCAGGGCCTTCTGGGTCAGTCAAGGAGTTGCACTGGGGCAGCACCTGGGTTTGGTTTCCTACAGAAACAATCAGAGGGTTAGCAGGGTTGAAGAGCAGGAACTTTAATTTCATAATAACCTAGCATTAGGGTCTGAGATGAAAGCTGTAAGTTAAGAGCAATGTTAATATTAGAGTATTATCTAATAGCTGATAATATTAGAGTTCACTTTCTTTATGGAGAGTTGTGTCTCTGAAAATGATTTCTTTTTTAAGCTAAACATTGCATGAAAAGTGAGTCTAGAAAAAAACTGGCACACATTAATACTCTTTGAAAGTGTTGTAGAGCTACCAAGGCAGTGAGGATTTTAGGATCAAAGCTGTCAGAAAGAAGAGCAGTGGAATTGTGTGAGTTCTTTATATATTTTGGAGATCAGACCCTTGTCCGAGGTAACATTGGTAAATATGATTTTCCATACGGTTGTTTCCTTTTTCATTTTGCTGATATTTTCTTTAGATGTGCAGAAGCTTTTAATTTTGATAGCATCCCATTTGTTTATTCTTTCCTTTATGTCCTGCTGCAAGCAGCCTAAGTGCCCATCAATAAATGAATGGATCAAAATCATGGTACATTTACACAATAGAATGCTACACAGGAGAAAGAAAGAATAAACTCCTACCCTTCTTGACAGTGTGGATGGAACTGCGGAACATTATGCTAAGTGAAACAAGCCAGGCAGTGAAAGACAAATACCTTCTGATCTCACCTATTAATGAAACCTAATCAACAAAACAAACAAGCAAGCAAAAATATAACCAGATACATTTAAATAAAGAACAAACTGACAGTAACCAGAGGGGCCAGGGGAGGAGGGTAACAGGGAAAGAAGAGGAAAGTCATCAAGGAACATGTATAGGATTGAGGGTGAGAGGTGCAGGTGGGTGCGTGGGGGAGAGTGATGGGGGGGAAAATGGAGACAATGGTACTTGAACAACAATAAAAATTAAAAAATTAAAATTAGAAAAAAGAGGTAAAGGGCAGGGGTGAGCCACTTACCTCATGAGGACTTTGTGAATTCAAAGGTTATAGCTGAGACTCTGAACAGCTCAGCAGAGATTTTGCCAGGCTCACAGTGTTTGGGGAGCACAAAGTGTAATTCAGGATGAGCCATGGAGGACCATGCCTGTTAACCAGAATCCTTGTGCCATAGAAGGAAAAGTAAACTAAGAATATTCCTCACAGGAAGTGATGCTCAGCTTCTAATCAGTGCACTTTCTTTTAAATAAGGCAATCCACCCTTAAATCAGGTCCCTGGAGAAAGCAAAATAAAATGCTTTCTGAAGGATTTCTACAGTTTCTATCAACAATGCCTAACATTTAAAAAATTCCCATGTAAAAGAGATCTCATAGAAAACCAAGAAGAAAAAGGCGACATTACAAAGATTTTCACAAGGCATCTAGCTTGGAGTTACCTGCCAAGGAGTTTAAATAAACATGATTAAAATGTTCATAGAATTAAATCACAAAATGCATATCTTGGCAGAGAAGTTATTATAAAAAGCAAATAAAAATTCTAAGACTTCAAAAGTCAGCAGAACTTAAAAAATGAGTGTAACAGCACATTAGATCAGCACATAGTAGAAATAGTAAAACAGAAGATCAGAGGCAAATGTATAGAATAAAGCACAGAAAGGCAAATAATAAAAAATATAATAAGGGGAACAAGAAACATGGTGAAGAGCCTAACTTTCATGTATACTAAGTCCTATTTTTATAAAGCAATAACTGACAAAACTAAAAAAAGCAGAAATTAGAAAGTGCACACAGTGGGATATTTAATACACCCATGATGATTTTTTTAAACATTTCCACAAAATCTTTGATAATGCATCCTTGGAGAAGTGAGGTCCACATCTCTTTCACTTGACCTTGGCAAACCATCGTGAGTTGCTTGTAAGCAATAAAACACAGCGAAGGCAGCACTGCTTAATTTTCAGCACTAGGTCAGTAAAACCATGTGGCTTCCCCATGATTCATGTAGAATATTTGCTTTAAGGGAAGTCTGACTCTGCTGAGATTGTCATGTTGGAGAGGCCATATGCAGGTGGTCTTGTTAAGCTGAAATACCAGGTGTTTTCTGCGTAAGGGAGCTATCTGGATTTCCAGTTCAGTCAAGCCTTCAGATGACTTTACCCCAGGTGACATCTAAGTGAAACCACATAAGAGACCCCAAGATAGAGCTGCCAAATCGAGTCTTTCTCAAGTTCCTGACCCAGGAAATCATGAGCAAAATGGCATGTATTATTTGTTTCCAGCTGCTGAGTTTTTTGGGAAAATTTGTTAGTCAATGTTAGTAACCAGGACACTATGTTATCTAGAATGCTGCTACTAAATAAAAAGAGAATGTTTGTCCTTAACTAACTTCTACTGAATAGAATTAAAAATGTTAGTCTGAATAAGAACTTGAACTTGGATGTATATAAAATCTTTATTCATAGTAACCCCAAACATGTGCCATGTCTTTTGGGTCAAGGCAGTAGGCCTTGGGACGTTCTTAGAGAGACTATTGGCAGAAGCCTTATGGGCTTTGTAGATACTGTTGGTGAGGGTTTATAGAGCTTTTGTTATTCGTAAACACAAAATAAAAACATCTGTCTCAGTAACTGAGAGAGCAAGCCAACAAAAATGATCAATCAGTATTTAAAATATAAAATGGTGTGTTTTAACAATTTTGCATCTCAAAACTACAGAATACATGTTATTCTCAAGGGCATGTAGGCCATTTAGCAGGGTTAATTGTATGCTATAGCAAATATGAGTTCCAATTTTTTTCAAAAGAAAAATTAAGAGAAAGTGATAAAAAAATTATAATTTTGGACTGCAGTAGAAATAAGCTGGAAACAAACAAAAACAAACCCAGTAAAATCAACTCTATCAAGGTATACTTTTCATGCAATAAAATATACCTGTATTAAGAGTACATTTTCATGTTTCGAAAAATGCACAAACCTATATAGTCAACCACCTTCCTACAGCATGAACACAAACCCAGGAAGTTCCCATTTGCCTTGGGAGCCAATACATCCCTCACCCCACAACCCAGTTCCTAGGAAAACATTAATCTGCCTCCTGTCACATAGTTTAGGTTACATCTTGTAGAATGCAGTGGAATCATATAATATATATTCCTTTTTTATAGCTTTTTTTCTCAGCATGTTTTTGAGATTTACCTGTGTAGATGCATTTATCAGTTGTTTGTCCTTTTTATGGTTGAAAAGTCTTTCATTGTCTGAATATACTACAATTTGTTTATTCATTCTTCTGTTAATAAAATTTGTTTATACTTTTTAATTATTGTTAATATACTATGAAAATTAATGATCAAATCTTTCTGTGAGCCTAGATTTTTATTTCTCTGAAGGAAGTATCTAGTAGTAGAATTGTTTGGTAACATTTAAAAGTATGTTGAACTAATTTTTTTTCCTTTTTTCAAATCGTTATATCCTCTTACCACCAGCAATGCATGGAGCTTTAGTTGCCCCACATCCTTGTCAAAACTGGAATTGTAAACCTTTTAATTTTAGTCATTCTAGTTAGTGAAGTGATGTTTTTCCTCATACTTTAATTTGAATTCCTTAATCATTTAATGATGAAGTCTAATACTCATTTTTTAAATGCTTAATGCCTTAAGAAATGTTTGCCTACTCCAAGATCCCCCAAAGTTTCTCTTATGTTTCCTTTTAGAAGTTTAATAGTTAAACATTTTACATATAGGTTGGTTGGTAATCATTTTGATTTTTTTTTTAGTGTAGTGTGAAGTACGGGTTGTGTTTCATTTTTTATACCTGGGGAACATTAAGAATTTAGGCCTTACTTAAGGATCTGTCTAGCATGACCTGTGAGAAAAACTGATGAATCCTGTACACTAACTGTGGATCACAGAAATCTTAAGATAGTATTCACTGTGCATCAGCTCTATCATATATTAATAGCTCAAGCTGTACAACAAGTTAGGGAAGATTGGTGTTTCCTGATTGATCTGGTTAATGCCTTCTTTTCTATTTCTACTTAGGAAAAAAATCAATTTACATTGATGCAGGATGGATTCCAATATAAATTTACTATGTTTCTGCTGTATTTAATTCCCTTGTGTATTGTTCCAGCTGAAATTGAGGAACATTCTGCATAACAATTGTCCTGTCTTCTTTAAAAAGATCAGTGCCATGAGATATAAAGATTCAGAAAATATTCCATATTAAAGGAGACTAAATGGACATGAGACCTGAATGCAGCACATTGCTCAAATCTCCTTTTAGCTGTGAACAGCTAAATCTCCTTTAGCTGATCTCCTTGGATCAGTCAGTAAAATCTGAATAAAGCTTATGGACTAGATAATAGTATTACAACAATGTTCATTTCTGGAATTTGATCATTGTGCTGTGGATATGTAAGGGAATTCTTTGAAGTATTTTAAAGGTAAAGGGATACCATGTCTGTAACCTACCAATTTTACCTACTAATTCAGAAAGAATTTATATATTCAGGGAGGGATGGGGCAGGAGAGAAAGAGAGACAGAGAGACAGAAAGACAGACAGAGGGAGTGGAGCAGACAGAGATTATAGCAAGACACTAACATTACTAGAATGTAGATAAAGGGCTATCTGGAAATTTCTATTCTTGCAATTTTTCTGTAAGTCTCAAATCAGTGAAAATAAAAATATGGAAATATAAAAGGTGAAAACAATTCAGAAAGAATTCATTCTTAGGACACCTTCACTAAGAGAAATACTAAAAAACATCAGAAATATGAAATACCTAGGAGAAAACCTAGTGAAAGATGTGTAAAACCTCTGAGAGAAATTAAAGACCTAAATGAATGGAGAGATATAGCATGTAAATGAATGGGAAGACTCAATATTTTCAAGGTTAATTATCTTCAAATTCATGTGTAGAATAAGTCTAATCTCAATCAAAATACCATTATACTTTTCTGGGCAAAAAAATGACAAGCTGATTCTAAAATTTTATGCTAATGCAAGAGATCAAGAGTGACTGCCCTGGCTGGTGTGGCTCAGTGGATTGAGTGCTGGCCTGCGAACCAAAGAATGATTAACACCGTAGGCAAGAAAAACA